CTGGATCTGGAACACTGCAAACGGGTGAAGTCATCAGGGCAGCAACCACCAGGTGTCATACATCCGAGTAAGGTAACCAGCCTCCAGTTATGAAGATGTCAGACACCAGGGGGAACACACACATCAGCATGCGTCAGGTCACAGGAATCACCTTCAAAGAGGGGGGCTCGCAGGAACAAACAAGCCCAAGAAGAAAGCTTCCAATGGTGTAGTATTTTATTAGCCAAAGTGGAGCAGAATAAATGATAACTTACATAAAAATCACAGATGGTCGCCGGCCATCCATGCAGGCCGTGTGGTGTGTACACAATGCTTAAGGGCACCTCCCTAACGCGTTTTGTGTTCATACACTTTGTCAAAGGGGCCCTGGTTTGTTCCTGCGAGCCCCCCTCTTTGAAGGTGATACCTGTGACCCGACGCATGCTGATGTGTGTGTTCCCCCTGGTGGCTGACATCTGCATATCTGGAGGCTGGTTACCTTACCCGGATGTATGACACCTGGTGGTTGCTGCCCTGATGACTTCACCCGTTTGCAGTGTTCCAGATCCAGAGTACCAGGAGTAGGTCTTATATACTCCATGCACAAGAGATTGTGCTATCTGGTTAGTGCACATCTATATCCACTTTCATCACCACAGGAGGCACAAATTTTTCCATCACCAAATTCACTGATGTTATTACATATGTCACTATATGCACCTGCTGTGCTACTCGAGACTGTTGTTCATCCGTTGTCGTTCAGCCTCTTTTAATGACATTGAGACGCTGATTTTATGTTTTTGTCAATTATAGATTTTATGACCATTTATATCCTTTCAGCGCTGCATATATTTTCTTGTATACACAAAGAAAATATATATATTTAGAATGGTACAGTTTATTTTTTTGGTTCTTTTTTAACCACTTGCCCTCCTGAGGATTTACCCCCCTTCTTGACCAGGCCATTTTTTGTGTTACGGTACTGCAGTACTTTAACTGACAATTGCGCGGTCATGCAACGCTACACCCAAATTAAAGTTACGCCGTTTTTTCCCACTAATTGAGCTTTCTTTTGGTGGTATTTGGTATAAAAAGCACTGAAACTGTACTAACAACACTGGGCAGGAAGGGGTTAACATGAGGGGTGATCAAAGGGTTAACTGCGTGCTGTTTCACTGTAATTTGTGTGTGTGTGTGTGTGCTTCACTGTAATCACACTGCTTTGGATGACTGTGCACAGCCAACAAGGAGGAGAACTGTATTGTTTACATACAGTTCTCCTCCCCGGAGAAACTCGTCAATCACCGGTGCCGGTAGGGCACATGCGTGCCCCCTACCCGGAAATTCAAAATCACGTATATATACACACGTGATTTTGTGCACCCGTGCCGCCCTGTAGCAGTATATCTGCTATAGGGCGGTTGGGAAGCGGTTAAAGGGTGACTGGACATGTTTGTTTATTAAATCAATACTGTCACGTGTAAAAGCTTGATAACAGTGTTGTACAAAATGAAACAATGTAGAAAGGACTTTTATCATTTTTACAAACGTTGCCAAAGTTTTGCTTTTTTTGTCTAGTAACATCCAGGCAATACCAACTCACAGATACTTCATGTCTAGCTGTCCCAAATAGAAGCACACTGCTTAGTATCACAGGCTGGAGGAAATATTTTGTTATGTACAATTCAACACCAACAGGATAGTGGCAAACATAAGTTTATGTAGATGACCTGCAGCTGAGGCCTGGACAGGCTCTGTTGTAACATTCATTTTACAGAAGCAACCAAAGTAAAACATTTTGAATCATAAAATGGGGATTTAACATTGGAACTTCATGTGCATGTTCAACAGTGAAGTTCACACAGGAACTTCCTTTTTGTGTTGTGCTTTGGGAGGGGGGGCTACATCAGTAATAGTGAAATAAGCTGAATCAAGATGACCAATATCTGGATGGCATTGCTCAGACTGAATTCTAATGAACAGAACTGAACAATGAATACGATGGGGACAATGACAGGAACAAATCCTGCAACCCTGGAAGTAGTCTGCTAGGAAGTGTATACAGAAAACTATGCATTTTGAACCCGTATTAGAATGTCAAAATGGTGCCTTAAGCTAGCCATATTGAAATTTGGCACCTTCAGCAGGGACCATCTGAATTTGATCCATGGGTGGCTGCTAACAATCAACTTTTGTTGAATGGACTTATTGGAAAAATCTTCTCGATCAGTAGCTGCAGATGCTGATCAGTGTATCCTGACTGCGAAGGATTCCTCTATCCACCTCGCTTGTATGAATGTAACCTGCTCCCTGATCGAAAAAATATTGAAGACCATTTTAAAAATCAGCTTATGCACAGTCTAATCCCTGTCACCTAGACTCTGCTCTATAATGCTGATCATTAACTTCAGGGAGGGTAGTAGGACATACATATGCAATCGAATCATTTTCTGCCTATCTGATCACAAATACCTCTGTAAGGTGTTGGATGGCTGTGACTGCAGGCACCTACAAACAGCCAGCACCTTCACAGTCACCCTATGTCAGCCAGTACCTCTACATATAGGGGATTATCTGTTTCCAGCTTTGTACAGTTTTCTAGGCCAGTTTCCAGTTGCAGTATGGCGACAACACAGTCTGAGTGCTGGCATGGGATCCAACCAACATGCATACATGTCCCTGGGCTTGCTCTATTAGGCTGCATGCACTTAAAATACTCTCATTTATGCTGAAATACAGTGAAAAAAATGCTAATTTTGGTGCATAATTATGCAAGTTTACAGGTGTATGGCACTTACAGCCACATGCATGTAAACTCAGTCTATTGATAAATATTTATCCCCCAGAACTCTGAATGGGCACATGGGGGAGATTTATTAAAACTGGTGCACTTTGGATCTGGTGCAGCTGTGCATGGTTATCAATCAACTTCTAACCTCAGCTTGTTCAATTATGCTTTGGCAATAAAACCTGGAAGCGAATTGGTTTCTATGCAGATGTGAGCACTCTCCAGCTTTAGTAAGAAATTAACTGTTGGCACTCTTCTCCCCTGTAGCAGCTGCTCACTGGTACAGGGGAACCGGCGCTGCAGGATCATGTGACCAGACCACAGCAGATTGAAATTAGACAAGTACACAAATTATTTATTTATATACACATGGTATGCAGTGAAGATAGGAAGGTTTTTAAATATAGTTAAGTTACGCTTTTCTTTGACTTTAAATCAAACATTTTTGTGTTGAACATGAATTATGCCATCACACATTCCTTCTTACAAATAAAACAGTCCAGTTAGACAGAGGTGCCTACTTATCTGGCTGGATGACAATAAATGGTAGGATTGGCAGACCCACCATGTGGATGTAATGGACTGATAATAGGCTAATTTTCTTTCAGAAAGAGAATGGAGTACCTGGACAGAACTGAGTTACCCAACCATAGTCCCCTTTATGTATTGGATCAAATATATACTATAACTTATATACTTGCCAAAAGTATTGGGACGCCTGCCTTTACACGCACATGAACTTTAATGGCATCCCAGTCTTAGTCCGTAGGGTTCAATATTGAGTTGGCCCACCCTTTGTAGCTATAACAGCTTCAACTGTCCTGGGAAGGCTGTCCACAAGGATTAGGAGTGTCTATGGGAATGTTTGATCATTCTTCCAGAAGCACATTTGTGAGGTCAGGCACTGATGTCAGATGAGAAGGCCTGGCTCACAGTCTCTGCTCCAATTCATCCCAAAGGTGTTCTATTGGCTTGAAGTCAGGACTCTGTGCAGGCCAGTCAAGTTCCTCCACCCCAAACTCACTCATCCATGTCTTTATGGAGCTTGCTTTGTGCACTGGTGAGCAGTCATGTTGGAACAGGAAGGAGCCATCCCCAAACTGTTCACACAAAGTTGGGAGCATGAAATTGTCCAAAATGTCTTGGTATGCTGATGCCTTAAGTGTTCCCTTCACTGGAACTAGGGGGCCAAGCCCAACCCCTGAAAAACAACCCCACACCATAATCCCCCCTCCACCAAACTTTACACTTGGAAAAATGCAGTCAGGCAAATACCGTTCTCCTAGCAACTGCCAAACCCAGATACATCCATCGGATTGCCAGACAGAAGCGTGATTCGTCATGCCAGAGAACACCTCTCCACTGCTCTAGAGTCCAGTGGCGGCATGCCTTATACCACTGCATCTGACACTTTGCATTGCACTTGGTGATGTAAGGCTTGGATGCAGCTGCTGTGCCATGGAAACCCAATCCATGAAGACCTCTAAGCACTGTTGTTGTGCTAATCTGAAGACCACACAAAGTTTGGAGGTCTTTAGCTATTGACTCTGCAGACAGTTGGCGATTTCTTCGCACTGTGCACTTCAGCATGGACTGACCCCGCTATGTCATTTTACATGGCCTACCACTTCACGGCTGAGTTGCTGTTGTTCCCAGTTGCTTCCACTTTGTTATAATACCACTAACAGTTAACAGTGGAATATTTAGTAGCAAGGAAATTTCACAGATGGACTTATTGCACAGGTGGTAACCTATCACGGAGAGTGACCCATTCTTTCACAAAATGTTTGAAGAAGCAGTCTGCATGCCTAGGTGCTTGATTTTATACACCTGTGGCCATGGAGGTGATTGGAACACTTGAATCCAATGATTTGGAGAGGTGTCCCAATACTGTTGGAAATATAGTGCATATGTTATATAAAATGCATGTACAAAGAGCTAAAAATGGGAATATAAAAGTCATACAAGAGCCATATATCATACCTACACAGACTAAAGGGGTTTGTTCAATGAGCCCCAAATAGCAAACAACTGAAAAAAAAAAAAACAAAAAAACCAAACAAAAAAAAAAACTTTCATTTAGTAAAGGGAATTCTGATTGTTTGCTATGAGTTGCTGCATTGCATGCCGTTTTTAAATAAAGTTTGAAAATTTTCAGGAATAGAAATTAAATAAAAAAGCCCAAAATGTAAAAATATCAGACAAATAAGAAAACAAATATAGCAAGTCTTACCTCCTTTTCGCATTAGATAGATGGGCACTACGTAGAGCAGGATGTGTTGAATGTAATACACCTCCACTTCAAATGGGAGCTGTGTGTACAAAAAAAAAAAAAAAATAATAATTTTATACTATATGCAAAGGGAAGGACTTTTTAGTACATTAACCTTAAAATCATTTGTTCCATCCACATTACTGAACTTTCCCAAACTATCTACAGATCTACATATGGTGCACCCTCCAAAGAAATACTGAATTTCTAGGAATAAGAAAGATGTGTTAGTGTTTTAAAGATCTAAATTCATTGAAGACCAACAAAACATCTCAGATTTGTTTGACCTCTAACAGTCAGACAGGCAAAAGCCCACAATAGGTCTGGGTCTTGTGGCAGTCCATGCCTATGTTTACACAGGATCTCTAACTATTCCAAAGTGGGGCTCAGGTTTTTTGTTTTTTTAAATCAACAAATCATTGCATATGTCCAACAACAAAACCCTTGCCACATATGTGAAAAACCTTTTTTATTTAAGTTTTTTGGATTCTTCTACAAAATCCTAGGACAGATGTGTTTTATATAATGGGTATAGTTTTAATCTGAGATAACAGATGACTGGAGGCAGAGTTACCTGTCAAAGCTTTCTTCAATGGCATTAGGTGCAGATTCTCACCATGTAAAGATCTAATGTGCAGAAAATGTAGAAAGTAATTTTTACCAAACTCTTCTACAACTCTCTAAAAATGGAACCTTAGCTAAAAGCTCAAAACTAGTTTTGAGAGAGTTTGCAAAGCCTGGCAGGTTTTTATTACTCTATATGTTTACATGGAGAAGAATCACCCTTAGTATCTGTCCTTGTGACTATTGTCCCCAGGACAAAAAGTGAATACCCAAACTGCTATGAAGGTCTTCAGCAGATATCCTTAAATGCGGACACATGTTACAGTGGCAATTGTCTAACTGGTATTTCCACTCTTTTTGGAGATATTTCTACTCGCTTCCTGTTCTGTTTCTAAAAGCAGTGTTAGCTGCATTATTCATAGCATGGTGGTCAATAACGGCTTCTGTGAGGCACACAAGGATTGTGTATTACTAGAAGGTTGGCCATACACATACAGCCTTTTTTCCTATCAGATCCCTCCATCCATGCTTTACAGAGTGGATGGATGAATCTCACTGCGGCTTTTGTATTCAACAGCCTCAACTATCTGCCTGGCTCCTTCAAATTTTTCAAATGAGGGATATGAAGCAGGAGAGGGCCAACAAAAGCACCCACTTATTTAACTTCGTAATTTCATCATGAACCCAACAATATTTGCTCCATGTATGGCCAAATTTAAGGTCTGGGGATGTACAGTTGTGTTCAAAATAATAGCAGTGTGTTGAAAAAAAAGTGAATAAAGCTCAAAATCCTTCTAATAGCTTTTATTTCCATACACACAAATGCATTGGGAACACTACACATTCTATTCCAAATCAAAACATGAAGAAAAATATATCAAATTTGTGTTGTTTCTCTAAAAAAAATTGGTGAATATTAGACTGTTCAAAAAAATAGCAGTGTTTGTATTCTTCTTTACAAACTCATACATTCACTATATAAACTGAAAAATGTTTGAAGATTTTGCTTTCCTTTGAATCACTTAATATTTAGTTGTATAAGCACTGTTTCTGAGAACTACTGTACATCTGTGTTGCATGGAGTCAACCAACTTCTGGCACCTGTGAACAGGTATTCCAGCCCAGGATGATTGGACTACATTCCACAGTTCTTCTCTATTTCTTGGTTTTGCCTCAGAAACTGCATTTTTGATGTCACCCCACAAGTTTTCTATTGGATTAAGATCCGGGGGTTGGGCTGGCCACAACATAACGTCAATCTTGTTGGTCTGGAACCAAGATGTTGCATGTTTACTGGGGTGTTTGGGGTCGTCGTCTTGTTGAAACACCCATTTCAAGGGCATTTCCTCTTCAGCATAACCTCTTCAAGTATTCTGATGTATTCAAACTGATCCATGATCCCTGGTATGCGATAGACCCAACACTGTAGTATGAGAAACATCCCCATATCATGATGCTTGCGCAGCCATGCTTCACTGTCTTCACAGTGTTCTTTGGCTTGAATTCAGTGTTTGGGGGTCGTCTGACAAACTGTCTCTGGCCACTAGAACAATCTTACTTTCATCAGTCCACAAAATGTTGCGCCATTTCTCTTTAGGCCAGTCATTGTGCTCTTTGGCAAATTGTAACCTCTTCAGCACGTCTTTTTTTCAACAGTGGGACTTTGCGGGCCTTCTTGCAGATAGCTTGGCTTCACATAGGTGTCTTCAAATTGTAACAGTACTCACAGGTAACTTTAGACCTTCTTTGATCTTCCTGGAGCTGATTCTTGGCTGAGTCCTTGCCATTTTGGCTATTTTTCTATCCATTCGTATGGTAGTTTTTCACTTTCTTCCACGTCTTTCAGGTTTTGCTTGCCATTTTAAAGCATTTGCGATCATTTTAGCTGAGCAGCCTATCATTTTCTGCACTTCTTTATATGTTTTCCCCTCTCCAATCAACTTTTTAATCAAGGTACGCTGTTCTTCTGAACAATGTCTGGAACAACCCATTTTCCTCAGAATTTCAGAGAGAAATGCACTGTAACCAGCATGTACAACATTTGCTGCCTTCATTCCTTAAATAAGGGCAATAATTGCCACCTGTTTTTCAAAGAATGAATGACCTCACTAATAGAACTCCACACTGCTATTATTTTGAACATGCCCCTTTCAATTAGTGATTCAATTACACAGAATCAGCAGCATGCATGTCATGAATGTTGGGTCTGTTGGATTTCTTTTACACCTGGTAGTAAATTATTTGCCATGTAGAAATATCATTTCTACCAAAAACAGTGATTGATCAAGTTAGTGATGTCTGACTGCTATTATTTTGAACACAACTGTACCTTTGATAACTATAATGAGAACCTCTGATTTTGGATTGTGTAACTCTGTGTACTCATGTACACTGCACTGAAATAGAAACATAAAAACTAGTTTTATGTTCCAAGGAACTGGATAATTCCACTTTGCCACACAAAATCACATATTGCAATTTATCTTATTTTACAACTGTATTATTTTTCTTTAGAATGAAATTCTTAATTTAACAAAAAAAATAAAAAAAAGAACACAAATAAAAGTATGTTTAGTCAGATCTCTTGCCGAGCAAAGACCAATATACCACCTATTGCCCCAAAAAGATGCAATATGTAAGCTACAAAGATGGTAAATACATACAAACACTCAAAAAATACATTCTATTCCTATAAGCAAGAAGATGTGGTTAAATAATTTCTATATTTATGTCAGCATATGCTAGTACAACTTCATAACTAAGCATTCAAATTACAAGGTTTGCCTATGAACAAATCAACTGCACAATTACTAGTCAGCCTTTAAAGGAATGAAGGGAAATTAATAGGAACTCATACTAGTAAATTATTTACCAATTCTCAAGCATGTGCTCTAGCCCAATGGATAAATGAAAGTATGTAACTCCAACAATTTACAGTACATTTGTATTTCTTAAAGCAGAACATTTGCATTGACCACGCAGCTCAAAGCAACAGGTTCATGTAACTGGTGCCTCCCCTTTGCTCTAAGCCATTCCATGAGCCCAAGAAAGGGAAGACGTCCTATGTAAACATCAAATGGCTCCAACTTGGAATTTACAGTCCCCTCTAAAGCTTATAACCAACTCCCCCACAACTTAACCAAAAAACCATGTTGACTGAGCGCATGAATGCACTCCTTTTCCACTTAAAACAAGACCTCCAAAAATCACTACCATTCTTATTTATACACACCCTGCTGGATGACCTCCAGATTGCCTATGGCATCCTCCAGGAAGGTTTACAATGAACATTAATCTCAACACCCGCATAGATCCAAGTAGGTCTCCCTCTTGGCACAGGGGACCCTCACATCTCTCCACAGCACCTCCTTCTATATGTTCCCCTCACTGAAGCAATGAAAAAGAAACCATCTAAAACGCTCTGTATAACTTTATTAAACTTAGCAAAAGAAACATCCTCACAAAAGTTAAAAACATCAGCGCTTTATTAGTTAAAATTAATTCAAATTAATCCAAGTGCTCTCTTTCTAGAGCGCGGAACAGCAAAACAGCATCTCCCGGGCTTCCAACAGCTTGCCTGAGCAGACTGTGTAAATGTGATGACATCAGACCTAGGCTCCACGTTACGTTCCCAAACAGACTTTGTCAACAGGTTGAACCTCTGATTAAATCCGTTCAAGGTTGTCCTACTGAACCTCTTGGTTTCAATACTTTGTTAATTACCTAGGTCAAGTATGCAGATCAGGACCCCAACTTCACACTTCATTAGCTTCAGACCTGTACTTGGTCAGCAGTAGAAAGTGTTGAAGCCAGAGAGAGCAATGCAACAAGCATCGTGAAAAGAAAAACACTTCTCTGAAGCAGAGAGCCAAATTGGAGTCTGGTGCTCCCCAGTGGAATGGGAGAGCCTGAGCCTGAGGTGCAGGAGGAGGGGGCCCCTGTAAAAGTAATTGGGTGGCTGTAAAGCCACTCGGATGACTTTTACATAAAAGAGAATCACCGGGTGTACAAATCAGATGGCTTCATCAGGAATGGGTTACATTAGGATTATAGCTGCAAGATGTAGAGCAGTACATGGTCACTTCTCCTAATCAAAATCCATCACTTTCAGTGAGAGCTGCCAAGAACCTGATCATGCAATGGTCACCACTAACAAACTGATGTCAGTACATTAGGACTGTATCTCTTACTGTTCTCTATCCAAGAATAAGGCCTGCATTAAACTCTGGAAGATTCACAAAAAGAGAGGAAGCAGACTGATGTACCTTAATATTATCAGCACAAGAACCCAAACCCTCCCAACCTGTCCTAAAACACTTGACTGCGGTTTGTCTGAAGAAAAATCAATAGCTATTCCCTTTAGAAAAAAAACAAATAAGCCAGTAATAATCGCAATTTACGTACCATTCGTGTATTCAGCACTGGAAATAACAATGCAAGAAGCGCGCCATTCAACATATGCATTTGCAACCTAAAAAAAAGAAGTGACATTTTACAGTAAAATCTGTACTTTGGAAAATGTAATTTTTTCAGAATCATTTGAATAGAAAGCTTGGCTATTAAACGAAGATATAAAGTTGAAACGAGCATGTACTAGGCCTAGAACTTCTCATTTCATGTTCTTCACTCAATGCAGGCTACCAATGTTAAAATCTCATTCTGTATATGCTACAGTAAGTGTCTGGATGTCATGTTGCATCACTTAAAGTCGATAACCCTTAACAAGCATGCAGATAAGAACTTTACTTTGAGTCAATGATGCAGAACAACCATACATATCATAAAACTGAATGTATGATAGCTGAAAGCCAGAGGATCAGCATAACAACCAAGCAACTGGTAATTTCAGATTCAAATGGCAGCTTCTGCATTGCTCTTAGAAAAGTTTATTGTAAACTAGGTCTAAAATAAAATCAGAAGTCCAGCATAGACAGTATATAGCATACACGAGTAGGAAGGTAGGGATGGGGTTCTGAAATAGTACAGTGTAGCACTGTATTAAAATGCCCCCAGATAATCACATCAACAATCTTTGAACACTATTGTCTTTATGAAATCTGCCTCTGTAATAAAACCTTTAGCAATACCGTTTGTAAATGATGAATTATCGTCCCCCAATTTCATAATTACTCACCTGAATACTACTGTGGCAACTTTACATGGTGGACAGGCCAGAAGAAATATCTACAACACAAAAGAAGGAAGTTAAACCAGTGGTTTGGAAAATATATCACTTTTATTCCTCAAATTTCTGTAACGTTGTTTCAGTGAACACAGTTAAAAAAAAGTTAAAGGTTTCAGAAGTGCCCATTATGTCAAAGTACCCCCCATTGCTGTCACAGTACCCTACGGCAACCAGCTGCAGCTCATAACTGGATTTCCATCAGTCTATGGTGGCCAGCTTTAGTTCTATAGATAGATGCTGGGGGATTGAATGGCTCACTGTCTGAGACTGCAGTGGAAAGCTCTCCCCATTGATATTTCTAGCTGCACCATCTCCCTCACTCATGTAATCTCACTTTACTTGCTACAGCAACAGGTGTCCCATTCATCCCCTGTAATCTTCATAATAAAACACATAAAAACACTGGCGTAACCCTCTTTGCAATGACCACAGCAAGTAACTGTAAATGGGATCTCAGAAGCAGAGATTCTTCCATTATTGCCAAGAGATAAAAGAAGCTAGTGTGTGATTCAACTCATTAAGGAGTATCCAAAACTATTATAACAGTTTTACTTGGATTGACTCTTTACAATTTCCAAAAATTAACAGAAAGCTTCAATAGGCTGAAAAATAAGTCACATTTTTATCATTTACATGTATTGGGATTTTTTTTTTTTTTTTTAGCATGTATTGGGATTTTTTTTTTTTTTTAGCAAATGGCCTAATTTTATAACATTTTATTTTATTTTTAATTTTTTTACTGGACAAGTTTAATAGCAAAAAGTTAAAAATAGTTTTCTTCTCAAAATTGTCAGTCTTTTTTTTTTTTTTATAGCGCAAACATTTTTAAAAATGCATACGATCAAATAACACAAAAAGAAAGCTCCATTTGTTGGAAAAAAAAAAAAAAAAAAGGACAAAATTTCATTTGGGTGCAGTGTTGCATGATAGTGCAATTGTAAGTTAAAGTAAAGCAGCGCTGTATCACGAAAAATGGCCTGGTCAGGAAGGGGGGTAAATCCTCTGTAGGGCAAGGGACTCCCTACCAGGCCAATTCGGACATTTCTCTCCATCATGTGGAAAGCAGTATTTATTGCTAGAAAATTACTTCGAACCCCCAAACATTTTTATATAATTATTTACTATTACAGGTACTTATATAAAACCGTCAACTTATATATTGTACATTGACATCAGTCCCTAACCCTCAAGGGGCGTACAATCTAAAGTCCCTAACTTACATTCATACATACACATACTAGGGCCAGTTTAGACAGGATCCAAATAACCTACCTGCATGCCTTTGGAGTGTGGGAGGAAACTGGGAGTACCCAGAGGAAACCCATGCAGGCACAAATTCCTGGCAGGTGGTACCGTGGTTGGGATTCGAACCAATGACCTAGTACTACCAGGCGGAAGTGCCAGCCATTTAGCCACTGTGCTGCCCAGATATATATTTTTTATTTTTTTTTGCACGGGCCCTAGAGAATAAAATGGTGGGCGTTGCAATTTTTTATGTCACACAGTATTTGCACAGTGGTTTTTCAAACGCAATTTAAAAAAAAAAATTAATGAATTTTATTTCAAAACACTATATAATACCTACTTTTTCGCGAAAATATAAATTATGAGATAAAAAAGATGTTATGCTAAGTAAATAGATACCCAACATGTCATGCTTTAAAATTGCATACGTCTGTGGAATGTTGCTAGCTACAGTACCTAAAAATCTCCATAGGTGACGCTTTAAAAGCTTTCACAGGTTACCAGAGTTACACAGTAGGTCTGGAACTAAAATTATTGCTTTCATTCTGATGTTCGTGGGGATACCTCACAAGTGTGGTGCGATCACATTTACATATGCATGTGGGAAAGCATGGGGGGGGGGGGGGGGGCCTAATTTTTTTTTATTTGAAACTTTATTTTTCACACTGTCTTTAATTTTTAGCTACTTTAATGAATATCCCTTGTGACTGCATGGGCTATGACAGATCCTCTTTAAAGGAGAGATCTGGGGTCTGTTAGACGCCAAATATCTCCTCCAGCCTCAAATTCAGGCGATCAGACACAGATTAGTCTGTTTGGCTGCTTACATGGCCACTAACAGCCAGGTAAACAAAAGGCCGAACCAGGAAGTGACTAAATCCACGGCACTTCCAGTTTCCGGGGTCAAAGAGAGGGAGGAACACCATCAGTTCCTCTCTCTCTGTGTAGTACCGCTGTCGCTGGCAGTCACAGCAATCCCAGGCTCCGCAATCAGACAGGAGAGCCCAGGAAAAGCGGCGGTGGGAGGGGGAAGGGCAGCTCAAATCACTTCTGCGGAAGAGGGAATCACCGGCTGCAAATTTTGATACTGTCATAATGTCCTACAGGCGGGAAGTGGTGAAGCTATGGCTGATCCCCATTCAAAGATCTCATGGTGTTAGCATCATTGAATACATTGTTCTTCAGATTTATGCTGTTGGAAATACTTTGTAAGTTGTTTTAAAAAACTTTGATTTAAATGTCTGAGTTATTTTATTGGTTAATTAACCAAACGGATTATGAAAGTGAGATAGGAAGGGCAGTGTGGACTGAGCATGTCAGTTATTGAGGTGAAAGCAAAAGTAGTCTATGGAAGGCAGATGACATTTTGTATTTTAGTGCTCTCATAATCCCATCTTGGTCATGCTGGGAAGGAAAATGTGGCCTTAAAGTAAATGTGTAACCTCACCTGTAAAAACAACCTAATTAGTTTAAAGAGGAAATGCGAGGCAAAGCATTTGTGTATTTACACTATTGGTCAAAATTTTCATTTTCCATTTTCCAGTTTTTATTAAAATGTATGCAGTTTAATGTCACAATGTGTTCTGAAATAAAGCATAGTTCAAATAAGCAACTGGACATAAAGAAATCATGGAATGGTTTTCTTCAATAAAATGTAATCTAAAATGTTTGACTCAAAGTAGCCACCTTTTGCAGATAAAACAGCCGAACATATTCTTGACATTCTTTCTACAAGGGAAATCAAATATTGTCCAAAAAGGTTCTTCCCTCACTGTTGTGGAAGTTCCCATAAATGTTTTCCACTTGCAGGTTGCTTTCCTTTCACCCTTCTGTCCAGTTCATCCCAAATCAGCTTGATAGGGTTTAGGTCTGGAGTCTATGCTGGGCATTCCATGATTTAAACCCACTGTCTTGTTCTTTTCTTCTAAAGTAGTTCTAACACAGCCTGGAGGTATGTTTTGGGTAATTATCTTGCTGCAGGATGAACCCCAATATCCAACAAAAGAGCCCCAGACCATCATGCTTTCTTCTCCATACAGCTGGTGACACACACACACACACACACACACACACACACACGGACCTTCCTTTCACCTACTTGACAGTGTACAAATACCCTGCATGAGGAACCAAAAGCCCAAAATTTTGATTCATTGGTGCATAGGACATTCTACCAGTCTTCAGTTATCCACTTGCGGTGCAAGCCTTTGCCATCTTAGCAGGGGCTCTCTTACAGCCACTTGACCTGTCAAACCGGCAACTCAAAATCTTCTCTTCAAGGTTGACTCTCAGAATCTTGACTTCTGATTCTGTTGTGGGTTTGAGTCTGCCAGACCTCCTCCTAATCAGCCTTTACTCCAGTTTCCAAGTGCCTTTTGACAGTGTAGGAAATTGTACTCATTGACACCCTAGCTTTCTCTGCAACTTCTCTAAAGGAAATACCTACACTTTTAAGGGTTACAATGATCTGTCTTCCTTTGTTAATTCCATTTTTCATGTCTTCGAAATGATTTTTTGGCTAGTGCATAGTTAGCATAAAACTCTACTTTATGCAATGTTATTTCTGCAAAATCTCTCTCTCTCTCTCTCTATATATATATATATATACACACACACACACACACACACACACACACACACACACACACACACACACACACACACACACACACACACAAATTTGGTGTTATCGCTCTCGCTCTCTCATACTGGTCACTGGAAGTTCAACATGGCACCTCTGACAAAGAACTCTCTGAGAATCTGAAAAAAAGAATTGTTGCTCTACATAAAGATGGCCTAGGGTTAGGTTAGGGTGTCATATCCAGAGGTTGTCTTTAGGAAATAGACGTATGAGTGCTGCCAGCATTGCTGCAGAGGTTGAAGGGGTGAGAGGTCAGCCAAACTGGTCTGCATGGCTGTCATCCCAGAAGGAAGCCTCTTTTAAAGATGATGCACAAAAAAGCCTGCAAACCATTTGATAAAGACAAGTAGACTAAGGACATGGATTACTGGAACCATGTCCTGTGGCCTGATG